ACTGCCTGTCAGAAGAAATAGAAAATTACCAGCTGGTTTCCCAGACAGCTGGATCAGAGACACAGGCCAAACAGCACTGAGAACAAATATGCATGTAAAGAACATAATAACAGTCCTGCCTTCTGCTGCTAGACAAACCCATTTTTTTATTGTATAAAATATTTATAATAGTGTGTTGTAGATTGCACTCAGCTTTTTTTGTGGAGGGGAAGGGAATAAACTCTCCTGCCAGATTCCCAGATCTCCGCTGCTGATGGGATGTGCAGAAGACCTACCAGTGCTGCTATACATTGGTACAGCTCTGCACAGACTTTCATCCAGGGGACGAGTGGGTGCTAAGGGTACAAGATCGACCTGGGGCACTTAACAGCTCCTTTCTGAATTGTTTGACAGGAATGCAAACCTCTTTGCCTTCAGGAAAGCCAACTATGCATATTTTTATGTCTATTTCTGCTTTGCTCTCAAGGCCTTTGATTTTATCTTTAAAACAGCCTTGTTTATAGTTCTCAAGATGATCATGTACTGCTAAACAAGTTCCTTTGTCCCATACTGTTGCTGACAAATCTGCTAGTGAAACAATTTTATATTCAGTAACTTCAGTTTTGCCTCCAACTTTTTCTCTGTACCCTTTGAACTGACATTGTTGCATTAATGCCTGCTATGACTTTGTCTACCATGCATGTCATTGCTAGAGCCTATTAAAAGCAGTTGCAGCCGTGCTTGCTGTTGGCTTCCTCCTTCCTTTTGAAGCAGTTTTCTTTGACTGGTCTTAATTAACGCAGAAGCTGGGAAAGTGCCTTCTTTCCTCCTTTCAAGATGTTTTTGTTTCTTTGTTTTAATTTCACATCTTTAGCTGAATAGATGTTTCCAGTAAGTTCTTTATGAAAATGAAAGGGAAATTGAAGCTTACACAACTTTTTATTGGTGAAAGAAACCCAGGCCATGTTTCTTCTTTGACTGCATTGCCGTTGCGTGCTTATTTGACTCTATTTTTTTTTCCCTATTCAGAAAAGCCAAGTAACATGATTAAAGTCCTCTTCCAACTTTGACTGTGACAGCAAACAAAGATGGATCACTTACCAACCAAATGAATCATGTACAGGAAACCAAGGCAAGTGTTAAACATATTTACTAGGGGAATCAGTTACGAATGGTATGTTGAAGATCTGCAATTAATTAACACCAGTTCCACGTACTGAAACAAGATATTGAAAAGCTATTAGATAATTAGTAAAAATCTCTAAAGCTGCATTCCTCAAAGCAGCCACAGATGTCAAAAGGAAATTCCGGATTGTTAGGCCAGATATCAACTTGTCAAGGAATTAATCATCTTATTAATGACAAATACCTGGCAAATACCTGGCCATGTGGGCAGCCATGCAAAGACCTGAATAGTCTGAACAGATGGAGCACTCCTCTGTCATTACTGGTTATTGTCACGCTTTTGCCAGGCGTGCAGCTGGTACATTCCTCAGTTTCCTCACAGGTAGGCTAAACCAGCTCTGTAATTCATCAGCTTCACATGCGTCCATGGAAAGTCACTAGTGTAGCAGGGCTTCAGACTGGAGAAGAAATGGGAAAAGCTCATGAATTAGACAAATATGTTATGAATACATCTACACAACAGCAGTGAACCTTGGGTTTCGGTGTGAACACACCTTTGAGCCTGTAAATAAGCCACAGGTTGTGAGATCAGCTCAGCCTGTAAATTAGTTTCATTACAGCAGAGCAAGAGGGTCGCAGCCAGGAGCAGGGCCCCGCGGCAGGAGTCGCTGCCCAAGGGACACGTCCTCGCTCTGTGTTTCATTACGCACGAATGCCTGAAATGGAGACCTGTGCTTTGATCTTGGCCGCGTCCGAACATCGTCCTGCCTGCGTCTGCACAGTGTTCACCAGACACAGCTCCCAGCTGAGGGCTCAGGAACCAGCTACTGAGAGGAGAGCTGCTCCATGTCACTTAAACCGTGCAAAACCTCATTGTTTTCCATTAGTTAGCCCAAATTCCCCACAGTCTCAGAGAAGGGAGGATGAAGCCCTGTAATTTTATGGGAAGGGTCTGTTCTGAACAGCCTGGTAAGCACCAATTGCTCCTAGTAGGGAAGACACAGCTCGTTCTCTCCCCTTACTCAAGGCTTTCTGAGCAGCTGTTAGAAACAAAATTTGCTTGTCTTGTTTCAGCTACAGTTTTCTGAGCTGCCAGTTGAGGGAAGCTGATTAAAAAGTATTAAATATGGCCAAGGGGTCTTCTCTCTGCTCCTCAAAAAGTGGGGTTTTTTTGGTGAGGCAGCTTAAAACCTTCCTCTTTACATCTCTGACTTGTTTGAAATACTAATTTTTCTATCATATCTGTTGCTGTTGCTTAAACATGAGCAGTGTCAGAGCAGGGCACTTAGCTTCCATGGGTGAATCCTTAAGTCTACTGCTAATACATCAGGTCAAGACCTTCTAACTTCTGTGAAAAGGTATTAAAGCAATTATTTTGTTCCCTACTTTTTCAGAAAATTTCATTTTTTCACAATTCAACAGAAAATTGAAATAGAAGTTTATGCTTTAATTTCAGCTAGAAAACTCTGGTTTGCTTTTACCATGAAAACTGCCCAAATCAAGATTTTTGCTTTTTTGTTTTTAATTGTGATCTGCTTTTATCAGAATCAAAGTGGTTTTAGGAAACATTTAAACATTAATGACTGATTTTTTTCCCCGAAAAACTTCCAAAGTCTACCTTCATCACTTCAGCACCCTGAATGACTAACTCTGCATGCAGAAGCAGACAGGTTCGAATATATCCCATTAGGCATTAGCAACTGCAGTATTTTGTCAGTGTACATTAATTGCATTTTGATCTGCAACAAATAGGTGGTTCCAGCTCCTGATTATTTGACTTTTCTCCTGAGTCTGAATGGGAACAACTGCTCATCAGACATTTACAATTAGTTTATGTCACACATCAATAGGAATCATGGAACGGCTTGGGTTGGAAGGGACCTTTGAAGTTAATCTAGTCCAACTCCCCAGCAATAAGCAGGGACACCTTCCACTAGATCAGGTTGCTCAAAGCCTTGCCCAGCCTGGCCTTGAACACTTCCAGGGATGCAGCATCCATAACTTCTCTGGGCAACCTGTGTCTCACCACCCTCACAGTAAAGAATTTCTTCCTTATATCTAATCCAAATCTGCCCTCTTTCAGTTTAAAGCCATTACCCCTCATCCTATTACTTCACTCCCTGATAGAGTCCTTCCCCATCTTTCCTGTAGCCCCCTTTAAGTACTGGGAGGCCACTATAAGGTCTCTCTGGAGCCTTCTCTTCTCCAGGCTAAACAACCCCAACTCTCCAGTCTGTCCTCATAAAGGAGGTGCTCCAGCCCCCTGAGCATCTTTGTGGCTTCCTCTGGAACCACTCGAGAATGTCCACATCCCTCTTATGTTGGGGGCCCCAGAGCTAGACACAGCACTGCAGATGGGGTGTCACCAGACCAGAGTAGAGGGGGAGAATCCCCTCCCTCACCCTGCTGGCCACTCTTCTCTTGATGCAGCCCAGGATACAGTTGGCTTTCTGGGCTGCGAGCACACATTGCTGGCTCAGTCAGTTTTCCATCCACTAATACCCCCAAGTCCTTCTCCGCAGGGCTGCTCTCCATCCATTCATCACCCAGCCTGTATTTGTGCTTGGGATTGCCCTGACCCATGTGCAGGACCTTGCACTTGGCCTTGTTCAACTTCATGAGGTTCGCACAGACCCACCTCTCCAGCCTGTCAAGGTCCCTCTGGATGACATCCCTTCCCTTAGCGTGTTGACCGCACCACACAGCTTGGTGTTGTCACAAACTTGTCGAGGATGCACTCAATCCCACTGTCCATGTCACCAACAAAGACGTTAAACAGCGCTGGTCTCAGTACCAACCTCTGAGGAACAGCACTTGTCACTGCTCTCTTTCCTAAGAAGATCTAGAAAAATGTCTTCTCAGGCTTGAAATATAATTTCACGCTTTCCATTAAACACGACATCATGATAATTTGTGCTATTTTCATAGACCAATACTCTAAGTGATATGCTGTTAAATAAGCCTATATTAATGCTAGAAAAAGCTCTAATATGGTGATCTTTATCTTTGAAAATAAATGCCATTACAGGCCAGCCACAGTAATTGCCTTTATTTTGTGGAGGAAAAAAAAGAAATAGAAAGGAATTGTGCAAAGCAGTAATCTCATAGTCAATTAAGTAATGCTGACTCCTGAAATGTCTTTCAGTTTATGTTTCCCTGGGAAAAAGAAAAGCAAACTAATTTAGACAGGCTGAAAGTAGTGATATTTATTTATGATCTGAGGTTAGATTGTATGGTTTTTAATAGCACAGACCTGGAGAGATGTATCTTCATTTTATGAGCAGAGATATCAAGACAGGGAAAAAATAAAAGGCAAGTATCAAATGTAAATGTTCTAAAACTAATGACATAACTGACATTTTTTAATTTCAGGGGAAGCCCCCCTGTCTCTGATGTTTGCATGTGACTACTCAGTCACCAGTTTAGGGCTCCAGATAGGTACAAGATAGGCATATTCTCAGAAGAAATCAGTATCAAGTCTAGGAACAAAACCACTGACATTTCTGAGGTTTCAGACCACAAGATTAGTCAGTGCTGAAATTCAGAAGATAGGCAGGACAAGACAGGCAGACAGAAGAGATAATCTCTGGGATCCATGTTTAAGTGGAAGGTTCCCATCCCAACAACAGCATTCAAAGTATCACCCTACTCCTGCGGACCTCTCCTGTGTATTAAGCATTTCTCCCTCCCTTCCAAAACCTGCTTCTCCCCATAAAACCATTCAGCACATCTTTTTATCGACAATCCTCCTGTATTTTGTCTGGAAATTTCTAGAGTGCTATGACACCTTATTGTGCTTTCGAAACCTAGACTTGTTCAGGATGAATTGGAATTAGGCCCAGGACATGCAAATAATACATCTTTCATTCCTGAAGAGCTGGTAATCCAGCGTAAGGATGGATAATGAGCCTTTCCCATTGCTGTCTCTTGCACAGGTATGTATTTGGGGTTGAGCTCCAGTGCTTGGATCCACACTCAGGAGAGAGCATCCTCACTAGGTGTGAAATAGAGCCAAGACAGGTAAAGGCCATTCTCTTACCAACCTCTTCTCTGCACTGAGTTTACTATAAACATGACTTTTTATGCTGTCTATTTAAATAAGCTTTACTTACTGTCTTCCTAGTAGTAGTAATTCCTCCCAACCCTGGTGAGTCCCAGTGAGTTTGTGCCAGGTGTGACACACGACAGCGCTGAGACACACACTACTGAATGAGGGGTTTATTCCTTCCTTCATCGCTATTCACTGCTTATGTCGCAGAGGTTGTCCCTCTAGACTGGCCGAGATAAAGTACAATTTGTCTCTTTAAAAGAAGCTCTATGACTTTGAAAAAAACTTTCTGTGAGCATCACCTGCACTTATTCATCAGGTGGGTGGAAAAATTTTCCATCCAGCAAAGAAAAGAGGTCTGTGGTTTGAGGCACTCAGCTTCGCGCTCTGCTAGCGGTGGTAAACTGTTATTTCTCTGAGGATCAGTACTAGAGGAGAACACATCACGCGCTGCACGACACAGGCAATTCTTGTAATCCTCACTGGGATGCTGCTCGATAATGACATATTCGTAACGGCGCCCGAGAACAGAAGCACATTCCTAAAAACTCTTCTGTCTAGACTGGAGAATTTTACCGAAATGCGTCACTTGTGGACATCCCTGTGCGACCCCATCCTCCACCAAACATCTGCTCTCAAATTAATGCCGATGTCCGCCGCTCCGCCGCTCTGAACCGCATCGCATTCGCGGTAAATCCACCACTTCCACCCTGCCATGGAAAAGACTCACTCGGTGCATTAACTCCTTCCTCCACCCTCGGAACAGCCCCCCCGCAGCCACCGGCGCCGCCCGGGGTCCCACGCCCCCCCCGCGCCGCACCGCACGGCGCAACCGCCCTCACGG